GGAGAAAAAATATATTGAGCACACTCAATTAATGAAATAAAATTAGAGTACGTACCTGATGTAAAAAAAAATACCAATATATCCTGCCAGAAATGCCAAAAATATACCCGTCAAAAATTTGAATTAAGGATGTACCTTTCATTTGAGTCTGAAATAGACTTTCAGATTTAGGTCATTTGAGTCTGAAAAAAAATCCTGTCTTACAAATACTTCAAGAAAATGGGTAAGTAATGCATAGTTTATTTCTTATATATTCAAATGAAGACTTATCAAGAGGTTTTGTGAATATATCAGCTAATTGATTCTTAGAATCAATTAATTGAATATTCACATCACCATTCTGAACATGATCTCTAATGAAGTGATGCTTAATTTCAATATGCTTAGCACGTGAATGAAGAATTGGGTTCTTGGTCAAATTGATAGAACTTGTGTTGTCACATTTAATTGCAACACTTGAATCTTCAATAGCAAAGTCTCGCAACTGTTACTTCATCCACAGAAGCTGTGGACAGCAACTTCCCAAAGCCACATATTCTGCTTCTGCTGTAGAAAGTGCAACTGTAATTTGCTTCTTTGAGTACCAGGATACCAACATTTTTTCAAGTAGTTGACATATTCCTGAAGTACTTTTCCTGTCCACTTTACATCCAGCTAGATCAGCATCGAATAACCCAGTAAAAAGTTGCAAGCAAGATGACAACGATTTTGTCTTAGGAACGGATTCTCGCTAAGAAATGATTCTTTTTATTCAAATCGTGCCCTGAATTGATTCCAGCATTTTAAGGCGTTTGTTAACGGCCCAAAATTCCATCACCCTGGAATAGAAAAAGAAAAAAAATACGAAATGCGTTGTAGCAAAATTTCTTTTTATTAATAATATTTTTAAAATTTTTTACCGGCCATTACCGGTAAAATATTTTTTTATTAATAATATTTTTTATTAAAATATTTTTATTAAAATATATATATTTTTATTTTTTGGCCATAGCCTGGTTGCCGGCCATGGCCGGTAAAATATTTTTTTTATTAATAATATTTTTATTAAATATATATTTTTTTATTTTTTTTGCCATGGCCTGGTCGCCGGCCATGGCTGATAAAATATTTTTTTTATTAAAGTATTTTTATTAAAATATATATTTTTCTTTTTTTGGCCATGGCCTGTAAAATATTTTTTTTAAAAATATTTTTATTAAAAATATACATTTTTATTTTTTTTGGCCATGGCCGGTAAAATATTTTTTTTATTAATAATATTTTTAATTAAAATATTTTTATTAAATATATATATATATATTTTTGCCATGGCCTGATCACCGGCCATGGTAGGTAAAATATTTTTTTCTATCAATAATATTTTTTATTAAAATATTTTTATTAAAAATATATTTTTTTTCTTTTTTATGGCCATGGCCTGGTCGCCGGCCATAGCCGGTAAAATATTTTTTATTAATAATATTTTTTATTAAAATATTTTATTCTTGTCAGATCCGGCGAGTGGCGGTCCTCGGGCTGGACATTAGAAGCTAAATTAAAAATCAAGAAAAGGAAGAAGAAAAAAAATTGATTCTCAAAATTGTTCCCAGAATCAAGAAGCTACTTTTTTTTTATTCTTGATTCTGCTCCAAAACTGATTCTGGGAACACTTTTTGACAAAATTGTGCCCAGAATCAAAAAATTAAACAAACGCATTTCTATTCCCAAACTGATTCTGAGAACAAAAGAACAGAATCAAACACTGTTTGGCAAGTTGTCATGCGCAGCCTAAGAGTAAAATCTGAATCTTTGGAATACCAAAGACCTAACATTGGATAAGTTCCAATGTATTTGATTATCCTTTTAACTGCAGAAAGGTGTGATTCCTTTGGGTCTGATTGAAATCTTGCACACATACAAACACTAAATAGAATGTCAGGTCTAGATGCAGTAAGATATAGTAATGATCCTATCATGCTTCTATATACCTTCTGATCAACCTTTTTACCATTTTCATCTTTGTCCAGTTTGGATGAATGAGACATAAGAATGTCTGTTTTCTTGCAATTTTGCAATCCAAACTTCTTGACAATCTCCTTTGCATACTTCTCTTGGCAAATGAATGTACCACCTTTGGTTTGTTTCACTTGTAGGCCGAGAAAGAATGTCAATTCGCCCATCATACTCATCTCGAACTCATTCTGCATATTCTTAGAAAATTCTTTGCAAAGCAGTTCGTTAGATGATCCAAAAATGATATCATCAACATAAATTTGAACAAGTAAAAAATCCTTACCTTTTCTCTTGACGAACAAGGTTGTATCAACCTTACCTTTTGTGAAGTCATTTTGCAGAAGGAAGTTACTTAACCTCTCATACCAAGCACGAGGTACTTGTTTCAGACCATAAATGGCCTTTTTGAGTTTATAGACATAATCAGTTTTCCTTGGTTCTTCAAAATCAGGTGGTTGTTTCACATATACTTATTCTTTGATATATCCATTCAGGAAAGCATTTTTCACGTCCATCTGAATTAATTTAAATTTATGGAAACAAGCATAAGCTAATAGTAGCCTGATAGCTTTTAACCTAGCAACTGGTGCATAGGTTTCATCATAATCTATGCCTTCTTCTTGAGAATAGCCTTTTGCTACCAGTCTTGCTTTGTTTCTTGTGACTTTCCCTTTGTCATCCAGTTTGTTTCTGAATACCCATTTTGTTCCAATTACTGAGTGATTTTTGGGTCTCGGCACAAGTGCCCATACTTTATTGATTCTGAACTGCTAAAGTTCCTCCTGCATAGCTTCGATCCAGCTTTCATATGATAATGCTTCACCAACTTCTTTTGGTTCTATTTCTGATATCAACGCCAAGTTGCTGATATTCTCTTTATGTTTAGATCTAGTCTTGATGTCATCTTCTATTACTCCAATGATAAGGTTCTTCGGATGACTGGATTTATGTTTCCAGTTTCTGTCAAATCTTTCCTTCTGAATATCATCAGACTCTGAAGGTTCTGGTTGAGTCTGGATTGTATCTTCTTTTCCTTCTTCTACAGATTCAATGATCTTTGGAGATTCTTGTTGAGCTTCAGATAACTCTTGAATGTTGGAAGATGTTTCAGATTCATCTTTGTGAGTCTGAATATTTTCATCAAACCTTACATTCATTGTTTCTTCCACAGTCTGAGAATTCTTGTTGAAGACTCTGTATGCTTTACTTGTAGTAGAATATCCAAGGAAAAATCCTTCATCTGCTTTCTCATCAAACTTACCAGAGCGGTCATTTGGATTTTTTAGTATAAAGCATTTACTACCAAATACACGAAAATATGAAATACTGGGCTTTCTACCTTTGTAAAGCTCATAGGGGGTTTTCTCAAGTATGGGTCTGAGAAAAGCTCTGCTTAATGATATACATGTTGTAAAAACTGCATCTGCCCAAAAATGAAAAGGAATCTTGCTTTCAATCAAAAGAGTAATTCGGCAAGGGGCATAATCGTAATAACGGGTAAAAAGCGGGGGCAGAAGAGTAAAAATGAAGGGGGGTCCGGTTCCCAGGGCGCGTGAGCGGCACGCGCCTGCCCTATGCTCGGGCGCGTGGCGCGCAAGCGCCTTCCTTTCAACGTGGGCGCGTGCGGCGCACACACCTTCACCTGCCGCGCGAGTGAATCCCACGCGCCTGGCAGTTGACGCGCATGGCGCGCACGCGCCTTCTTCCTCAGCGCAATCAAACCCAAATTTCCGACGTTCTTCGCTGTTCCGCCGCGCCTTCGACCGAATGGGTCTCCTCCGGTAGCCCATATTATACCAAAATAATTTATGGGTTTCGGAGACCACGTCGGTGCGACCACATGGACCCAAAATTCGGCGAAAACAACCAAGAAATTGGCTCGAATCAAGCAAAATTCCGTCAAAACGCACAAACCCTAACCCGCAACTTCCGCCGCTCAAACAGCCTCCGGCGATTACTGATATGCCAGATTAACTTAGGGCTATTCTTCTCCATGGCGGTGCGACCGTGCCGGTCCGAATTCGAGCAGTGGGTCGCCGAAATTTGGCCGGAATCGGCGATTTCCCTCTTAGCCCCAAAAAGCCGAATTACTGTTCATCTCAAAAAGCCCCGAAAAATACACCAAAAATTCAACAAGAACAAGGCAGAGGCACTAAACACGCTCTGATACCAAATGTGAGACTAAAACTGAAGGATTCTAATCATGCATAGAAGAGCAAATTTTAGGCACAATTAGAATCAAATGCGGAAAACAGGATCGAAAATAAACTGACCTCCAGCCATTGTTCAACTTTACGTTCGTCGGAAATCCACGGTAGTTCGACGTTAATTTGAGAGCGATTACGGGCGCACTCTACTAACCCAATCCCCTCGCGTACTGATGGTGTACTACCGAATGAGAGGGTTTGCGTTAGACCTTGTGTCTGCCATTATAGAATGAACGTTCATCTTTATAAACCGCTTCCCATCAAGGCGGTTACCGAAGAGGGCGGTTGTCACCGAAGGGGTACGAACAGTGGAAAAATCGTATGTGGATAACCGTCACTTAAAAGAGAAAACGTGGATCAAACCCAATGGATAAGTTTTAATTTCAAAAACTATATCCCTAAATGTGGGATCACATTGTAAATATAACAGGGAAAGCACGTCACCATCAAGTGCCGACTCTGCATGAGTCTTCTTCGTAAACCCATCAATTAACTTTAAAAGTTAGTGAAGATACTTTATGATAAGCATATAATCTGAATACCTAGCCCACCATATTCACTTTCCATCGAGAATCCGATGTAACTATTCAAGCATGAATAGTGATAGCAACTGGCCAAGTTCACTCCCACCACATCAATTTGCATGTTGGCCGCCGCCGCCTAAATAGAAATAACATGAGAGTAAAGTGCCAATCATGGAGGTCCCAGTGCCACAATTTTGTTCCAACCTAACACCACACAAAGAAGAGAACCCTAGGTCATCTTCTGGCCTCATAGTGACGTCATGCGCTTGACCCTTTCTCGATAAGTGAAGCATGCACCTTCTACGCAACCTCCTCCTGGAAAATGAGCATGAACAGAGTTTCCTTTTCTTTTAGGAGCTTCATTTGATCAAGTTTCAGATAAGATTTTATATCGAGCACCCATTGCCTCCTTTTGCACTTCTCCCTCTCCTCTCCCTGCCATATTTGTGACCATGAATGGCCCTGAAAACCCTAACCCTAATTACACTTGCTTCGAAGAGATCGTCGATCTGTCAGAATTCGAATTATCGGATTATCTCCTTCTCGAAAATGATTTCGAGGAAGATTTGTCGGCGAAAACAATGGCTAGTTCTGAGGAAAACTTCGCGGGCAGCAGCTCCAACGGATTCGCTCACCACAAAGCCAGTGAAAGAAGAAATAGTAACATGCAAGTGAATTATTGATTTACCCTCTTTTTGTGTGATTGTTATGTTGGTCCCCCTTTCTTCTTAGAAGAAGAGCGTCTGCTTCAAAACTAAATGTCAAATTAATTGGTGACTTGTTTCCTCCTTTGCCAGAAGATGCAAGAGTGGAGGGAAGAGCAAGTTAGGTACTGGATTTAGGGTTGCATTCAGGACCAAATCGGAGCTCGAGGTCATGGATGATGGATTCAAATGGCGAAAGTATGGGAAGAAATCAGTCAAGAGCAGCCCTAACCCCAGGTAATGTTTGCTTCAATTACAACATCATCGTTCTTCAAACATAAATTGATGTTCATCTTTCCATTTGTTAGTAGTTATCGAAAATTTTGACGTCAAAAAGAGATTTTTGTTTCAATTACAACAAAAAAAATTAATAATGGTGGAATCGCTCGCATTTATTGGTCTAAGCTGTTTAAGCCTCAATGCATATGGCTCGCTAGAACCACTAGATCTGAGAGGTATCATTTCATTTCCGGGGACCCATTATTGCCTTGTACATTTGGTTATATTTTCACGCTTGCAAATCTTAGAGTAGTTGATATTCGTACGTGCCTAGAGTTTCATCAACAATAGATTTTGTGATTTGTCTCCTCTGTTTGAAGGGAAAAAGAGAGAAATACTCGCTGCCACTCTGATTTTTGTCCTCATTAAAGAAAATAGAAATTATTCTAACTCAAACCGAGATAAGTCACTTTTCATGCTGGCCCGAGCGCCATCTGATCAACATGAGAAAAGGTTGCTTCGTGAGTCCACAAATTATATATGAATACAATAATTTTTTTGTCATGTGCAATATTTTATGGGAAAAGTAGTTCTTGTGTTCTCATATTGTGGTGAGAGAATGTAAAGGGTTTGTGTTGGGTATAAAGTGCTCTAGGACAAAAGGTGATTGTGCACTTTCCCCATTGACATTAATTGACCGTAACAGGATCAGAATATACACTTACCATACTTTACACTAAAATTAGAGGAAGAGCCTTTAATGTAGACCAACATAAAGTGGGGTGTCAAGTAGTTAGGGACTAATTGTCTCCAAAGTAGCGTTGATTTAATTCTCATGTTGTATTTATACCCCACCTTTTTCATTTTGCATATTGATCTCCATCCTCATCGTGTGGTTTGAGTTGTATCATGGTGTGTCAATATCCAACAGTTCGATTCTTTGGGTTCTTATTTTAGTATGCATAGTCTTCATAAAGTTTTGTTTGCACGAGTTATCATGGATGAATGTTATAGGGTTAATTTCACTTTAAAGAAGTTGACCATGCTTCCTTCAAGCTGGTAATTAATATGAGGGATTATCTATTGTGTCACATGCAAGCATGATCACACTATTGGAAGAGAAATATATTGTTTGCATGTACAAAATATACAGAGGCAAAAAGAGACGTGACAAGTCTTATCAGAAGACAAACAAAAAAAAAACATCACCCACCATCATTCAATTTGATTTTGCACACCTTTCTGATATTTGGGGTGTTGCATTCATCCCCTCCCTTGTTTCGGTGACAAGACAACCTACTTTTACTTCACCATAAAAATACTAAACCAAGAAGCATAGAGCAAGTGATGGTGTGGTTCTCTTCTCGCGCATTCAGCCCATTGTTTGGTGCTTTTACGGCCATTGGTTCTCTGCTTTTCTTATTGATGAGGGGGGAAAAAGCAGAGAGGCGCGCGTGAAATAATAAAAGGTCGTGCATCTTCAAGTTTAATAGATTATCTAAACACCAAAGGTGGGAGGTTAATTATTTGTGCTTCGTGATGCTGGGGAGTCTTGTTGGATCAACGCAACAAAACTCAATATTTTCACTCGGAAAGATCACCCAAAAAGAGATCAAGTCCCTACTCGTCATTATATGTAGTTGTACTTATGTGCATTCAAAAAATGAGTAATGGGCCAATCAGTATGTGTATATAGGTACGTTTTAAATAAATTTTTTTGAAGCTTTGCACTATCTCATCTTTGTAGAGGTAACTTATAACAATAGGGAAAAAAAGTTAAGCATCTTATTTGCTAATTTGTCAATATGCTTGACCATTATTTTCATGGACAACTTGTCCATAGAAGGAAATTAATTTGTAGGGTTTCTTTCGCCGTCTAAGATGCTTGTGGATACTTTATGACGTATATCGAGTGCAACTTGGTGTTGGTGTTGGAGAATCATTCAACAAGAAGCTATGCATGCCTGTATACTCTACAGCTAGTGCCTACAGATATGCATGTCAAAATCAATAACGACTGGCACAATTTACTTATTGTTTTCCGAGGCCCGTGATAAGCATTTAGACCTGAAAGAGAATAGTTATTGCCTTATATACAAGTGGGAGGTGGATAATATAAATGCCTCATTTCATTATCATGAAAGAGGACCCCAATTTGGATGTTTGGAACCGCTTTGAGGAAGACGTTGCATTTACAATAAGGTGTACAAATTCTGCGGTCCTGATAGTGAGTCTTAACTCTCATAATCAACTTGCATTTAAATAAGATTTTGCTTGCATTATTTATAGTTTTATTTGTTGAAATATCCCGCATCGCTTGACAATAAGCTTTATATGCTTATTATATGCGTGAGATCTCTCTCCACCTCTCACCTTAAACTTTTGGATTGGACTTTCCAACGTTGTATCAGAGCCAGATTTCGTAGCTTTCAAGTGTACGTCCAATCTCGTTCATTAAATTCCACGTGCCACTCCTAATCCGATTTGCACGTAAGAGAGAGTATTGAAATGTCTCACATTGCATGACAAGTGATCTCCTTCGACATATCAGTCTAAGTTTTTGGGTTAAACTTTCTAACGTTATTTACATAGTATGTTAAATCTTGGATGTTAATCCCATTACTATACAGTATTGACGAGATGGCACATATGCGAAGGAGATACCTAACAATAAGTTATGAACCCTTCCTACTTGAATACCAACGGACACTCATTACCATGCTTTTGCTAGACATAAGCGGGTTGAGATCAACCAATGCACTTTCTTTGTGAACCCTTCTTTCCCTATGTAAAATCATTATTGTTACGTATTTAGGACCATGGAAATCATAATTACATTGACATATACATACTTGTGCAAGCATATTTATGTTGCTGGTTAACCAAGAGGTTCTATTCTTGTCAAGCTCGTATAGAATTCTGATGATGGCTTGTCAATACAAAGTTCGATTTACTCATATCGATTCTTGGTGTTGTAGGAATTACTATAAGTGCTCGAGTGGAGGGTGCCACGTGAAGAAGAGGGTGGAGAGAGACAGGGACGACTCAAGCTACGTGATAACAACGTACGAGGGCGTTCACAACCACGAGAGTCCATGTTCTGTGTATTACAACTACAAGCAGATAAGGCCTGTCGTGGACGCCATCGTTGCTGGCGCTTGGGATCCGCCGGCCCCTCCTTCGCATTCTTCCAACTGATCTCCCCTCCTCATAGAGGTGTTTCAAGCCCTCCTTTGTCAAACCTTAATTAGTCTTGACATACTCGCATGAGAACCTCACATGGTTTATGTTGTCTCTCGATGAATATACATAGAAGCTTCTTCGCTGTGACCTTGACTCATTGTAGACCCAGTGAATCTCGATACATTAGTTTCGCCTAATCTAGTTGCATAATCAGTACATTCGGATGAGTGTGTCTCCCTTTCTCTCGTTAATCTTGGCTTATAAAGTCGGAATTGGCTTTTTACAATGGAATGTGTAGCTAAGAAAATTACCTAAAAAGTCATAAACCTATTGTAATTGTGTCAATCCAGTCCTAAACATTATTCTTTTTTTTTTTTGCCAAGTGAGTCCCAAATCTTTTTCATTTGTGCCAATTCAGTCTATCCAGCCGATTTTAGTCACATGGATGCCGGCTATCCTACATGGCACGGCTGGCATTGACATGGACAATTTTTAATAATTTTTCAAATTTTTAGTAATTTTTTATTTCTCCTTTCCTTCCTTCTTTTCTTTTGTTTTACCAGGAGGGTCGACGGAGCTTGCCGACCATTAGGCGAGGGCCACGAAGCCCTCATTGGCTGCGGGCTAAGGTGGCCTCACCCACAGCTAGCAAGGCCATGGCCGCATTCGCTCGTGGAGCACCGTGTCAACCGCTAACTGGCAGAGTTTCTAGTTGTCAGTCCAAATGAGGCCTACCGCCCCCATTTCGGTTCCCCTCCATGGTCATCATCGTCTCTTCATGTCGATTTCATGACTTTTCCTTAAAATTTATTTGACTATGTTTCTTCTTATTTATTGTTGTCAGCGTCGGAGCTAAAATCAGCGCTCTATGGAGTTGCGCTCCCATTGCTTCTCCGACGCCGGGATTGATTCCTGCCGCGTGAATCCAATCAGTGAAATTAGGGTTTGCAACGGCGAGGATTGCAAGTATTCCAGATCGTGGGTGTCCCAAGGCGTTTTGAGGTTCGAGTTTGGTGATGATGGACATGTGTAGTCGTATTACGGTGGGAAACCGAGGTTTGGTTTGAACGAGGAGGGGAGGAAGGAAGGTGGGAAGACGGAGATTAAGAAAAAGTTGAAGATGTTAAAAGGATTGACGAAGGACAAGAATTTTTATGAGTTTTGTTGGATGGAACGTCGTGGTGGTAGCGGTGGAGGCACTGCCGGAGCATGCAAATTTGGACGAGGCCGGCGAGGGCTGCGGCCCTCACCTAGTGGCCAGCGTGCTCTGACAATCCTCGCTAATCACAATGGGGAAAAACAAAAGAAAAGAAGGAAGGAAAATAAAATAAAATAAAAAAGAAAAGGAAAAATACAAATTAATTAAAATATTATTAAAAATTATCCGCGTCAACCCCGGCATAGCCGGCATCCAATTCCGCAATTTCCAGCCAAAATTGGGCAGATTGATTGAATTGGCATAAATGCAAAAGGTTTAGAACTCAATTGGCCAAAAAAAAATTTATGATTAAATTGGTACGATTTCAATATGTGTAGGACTTTCACGATGTATAGCTAAGAAGGGACATTCCTTCTTTGAGGGGAAAGAGTTGCGCCTATTCCATTCAATGTCCACAAGAGGCAAAAATCAACTTTACAATAGGAGTACTATAGAGGGTAGAGAATTCAAGTCTTTCTCATGTGATCATGTTCAAAGCACCTAATGTAATCCATGGAAGAATTTCCTGTAAAAAAAAAAAGGATGAGTAGGGGTTTTCTTCAAATTATAGGAGAGAGAGTGGAAGTAGGGAATTCATGTAAGTGGGCTTTGATTTTTTTTACCTATTGCCTGTCTGTATTATCTTTATTACCTTAATATAGATTCTTCTGTTTTTATACAATTTATTTTATATTAGCCTTTTCTTTTCATTTTTCGTCGACTTAATTTTTTTATCTTTAATATTATTATTGTGAATTAAGATTTCCAATGCATAAGCAAGTTTTAAAATATAAAACATCATTTCATATATATCCCGTCAATTTATAATTTATATCCTTCATTTAGTCAGCATTTCTTTTACGAGTCTTATTACTTAGAATTTATGAGATCAACATCGGGTCAAGATCTCTCATTGTCGTCGATTAAGGCCTGTCAAGGACAACGAGACGAAGCTCAAGATGCAACGTCGAGCTCCATTATGAGAGAGAAAGAGAGAGATTTCTACTTAGGAATTTTGAAGATCAACTAAAAGGATGTGTGTCGCAATATGATAAATGAAATTAGTGATGGGCACTTATTAGGACAAAGGATCTTCACTATTATTATTATCATTATTTACCAATGATAAAGAAATAATTCTTGTGTAATGCAGTCTAATTTTGTCGTAGTTTAGCAAAAGCTCTTTGGTTATATATGCGAGGTGACAATTATTCGATGCGAAATATGTACAGGCATATATTGTCGTTCTCTTCAACCTCGTGAAAAAAATTTGGCATCTCTATAATACAAATCTTAAAGTGATGCTCTCGTTAGTTTAGATCATGATTGAGAAAATCTTGCCTTTTTATTTATTTATTTATTTTAAGAAAAGCTTGCATTTAGAAGGCTGTAGATATGGTAAGCTTTGGTCTTTCATAAAGTGAAAGGAGCCATCAAAATACTAACTATAACGCTTTATTTGTTTCGCGAAAAATAAATAATTTGAAACATATTTTCCTAAAAATTATTCCTTGTATCGTTTACAAAAATGAATCAACAAAAAATATTTTCATCATCCCCGAAAATATTTAGACATAAATTATTGTCGATAATGAAAATATTTTACATTAACCAACTATTGAGATACAAGCAATCATTTTTAAGAAGATGTTGTCTAAATCATGTATTTTATGTGTATGTTAGATATCTGTTAAATGTGCCGCACTTTTATTTCTTTTGTATCTTTTATGAGATGTTCCTCTACGCGTCATGTCTTCCACCGCAAGAATCTTTTGCTGTCTTAACTTGCATGCTACTTCAGAGATGGTTTATATCTTTGGTCATGGACTCTTTTAGACTCAATCTTTAACTTCCGCGCACGCTTTGAATCAATCGATCTGGCCAACTATCAGGTGCACTTTGCTTGTTATGAACTTATACTTGATAAACTCATCATGCATTGCATTCCATTGATGGGTCTTGTGAATTAATTGTTCTTTGACGGCCTTTATGATCGTTGAGCTCGTTAAGCATTTTCATTGATTGGGCTTTATGAGTTTATATTTTGTAATGAACCGATTTAGACCATTAACTTCTTTATGAGGGCCCCAAATTTGAGCACGATTAGCAAACATTTTTTGGGAAAATCTTTGAGTGATTTTTTTTTATATTAAAGGCAAGGAAAGAAGTACGTGGAAGCCAATATAGGACACTGAATAACAAATTAAAATTTGCACTTCAATATGCTGGCTTTGTACCTTGGGAAGTTGGGATGAAAGAGGAATTTTCAATTATACTAATTTCCTCCATATGGTAATGCTTTTAAAAAAGCCAATTTATAATTTGCATTTTTAAAGTTTCTCAGTTATTTGTTGCAATTATTGGCGCAGCATATTTTGCCACCCACCAAGTAGAGTGCATCTTTTGCTTTTTTCGAGTACCATGAAATGATCTTTTAACTCAAACCAAAAATATAGACATCCTGCAATTATATCAAGTCAAAGGAAAATCATTTTGTTATAAAAACAAAAGAAAAAAAAATCAATTGTGTATGCAACATAACGGATGATAATATTCAATCCGTCGCCATTCCAAATGTTACTTGAATTTTGTTAACAAGCGCCGCAAGTGCGCTAGTTAAGCAGTTAATTAAGAAAAATTTTAATATCCGAGTTTGTATCGTGTTTGGACCTGATCATGAGTTTAGCGGTTTATGCCCAAGTCTTATCCGAGTCGTAGAGGTCTCATATATTTGGAGTTGGGTTGTAAATGGGTCATTAGACATATGAAGGGTCGGGAGAAAATGAGTTTGGAATATGTCCAACCTGAATGGGTCGTAAATGGGTTCGCCACCTCTCCACCGTCACCTTCATCAATCCCCTCCTCGACTACCTCCGGGGGGCCATCCGTTTCCTATTCTCTCGATCGAAGACCAAGTTTCCCCAAATCCAAAACCCCTTAGTATTCTCTGCATCCCGATCAATTGCAGATCTCCTCTTCGTTCTCTCCATGGCTTCTTCTCGCAGGGTGCATGCTTCTCATGAACTCGTACTCTCCTCAGACCTGAACGGTGATTTTGCTTTCATGGATTTGGCTGCTTCTGAGGAGTTGACTGGTTGTTGTTTAGGATTTTGCGGGGCAGCTAGTGTCAACCGCAGGTTCAGCAGCCAGTGCAAGGCGACATTGCAGGCTAGTGATGTACTTTCTGTGATTTGCTCGTAGGATTGATTCTGCCCTCTTTGACGGGACAACCGTTCATTGGGACAATCAATAGATGTGTTGGGCCGTTCATAGTTTCATACATGTGTTAGTATTTAATCTTTGAAACTGAAGTTTGATGACGATTGGGAGGCGGATGGATGGCGTCTATAGAATCCATTTATAGTTAACTCAAAACCAGAGCCCAAATCCGTTTTCATGATTTGTGGATGGCCTAGGCCGACTTTGGCCACCACCTTCATGTCCTCGTCCGTAACCCCACCCCCGAGCTCCCTCAATCACTCGACGAGCCCGTACATGGAGCCTTCTGTCCATTCTTCAGAGGCAACAATGTAGGTTGAAAATGCTAAAAATGAATCCCGAGACGGGTCGGATATGAGTCCAGAAATTTGCATTGCAAATAAATGAGTCAATTTGGGATTGGACCATTTATGACCCGACCTAAATCCAACCCGATCCACCCGTATGACAGGCCTACCGAGTCATAAGGGCTAAAGTTGCAGGCCCACAAGATGGCTTATGATTATAGGGCCCGGTCCGAGCCCCAACTCGACAATTTATTATATATTTTCTTTTGCTGATGAGCGGGTTGGGCCGATATGATGGTTCGAGCTTGCATATTATTGATCACTTTTCTCGCATATTTTTGTAATTATCGTTTTCGACAAACACATTATTCTTCCTTTTATTATGTATTTTCTTTTACTAATGAGCGGGTTTGGGTCGACACGATGGCTCGAGCCCGCATATTATTGATCGCTTTTCCCGTATATTTAGTAATTATCGCTTTCGATAAACACATTGTTCTTCCCTTTTAGTGTGCTTGACCCCGTGTTTCAACGCCGGAACAAACGTTATTTTTCCATATTAAAAACGGTTTTGTTCGTCTGTAATATAAAAAAAAAATTTATATATTTTATTTGTCCATGAATAAACCAAACGGCAAAAGAATTTATTATTTAATTTCGGGGCAAAAATTTACTCTGCCAATATTTAATTCTAGGGCAAAAGAAATTATTATTTAAAACGGTGTCCCCCTCTTGCTTGCTCTTCAAATTCACACCCCTCTCTCTCTCTCCTCTCTCTAGTTCTGCTGGTGCTTTGCTCGGGCTGCAAGGTCTGATCTTGTCCCTCTTCTCTTCCCTTTGCTGATGATTATCATGGCCTTCTTGCGTTCATACGAATTGCTGCTTCGTCTCGCTCTCTCTGATTTCTATGTATTTTTGATCCAGTGTTCGAATTCTTCTGCCCAGTGGAATTGTCGGGTCAGTCCGAATTCCGGAAAAAAACGCTTTTTTTTTTTTCAGATGGGTCATCATCATCTGCCTCTGCCATGGAAAATTTGTGCTCGTTGAGTCTGGCGAGGGGCTTCTTAGCCTCGAATTTCGCCGGTTCCGGCGATGAGAAGCCGCTTTCGGGTGGCATGATATCGCGATTTGATTCCGCGGGATTGGGCTTTAGAGTCGGTTGAGTGTTAGGTGTTTGTGGTATTGCTTCTGAGGCTCCGGGGGGTAGCGAAACACGGAGGCTTCAAGGAAGCCCGCTTTAATTTGGTCAAAACCCCGTTTAGCTTTCTTTTCTTTAGGTTCTTCATTGTCTTAGCAATCGTCTCTGTGGTTCGATCCTTGTCTGTTTAACTCTTTTGGGCTATCGATGTCGTGTTGAGACCGGAAAAGAGGCCGTCTAATGCATGGTGCCTGAATTTTAGTAGTTGAGTTTGAGACTGTTGCTGCTTTTAATTTCTTTGCTAGATACATAATCGTGTACTTTTTGTTAGTACGGGATTTGTATGCGAATGCTGAAGTGATGTGTATGGGCATTGGGAAAGGTTGGCATTCCTCCAGTGCTGTGATGGAATATTTTTATATGATGAAAGATATATTTTGCGGGTGGAATTCAATTTAAATCTAAAGATATGTAGAAGACCATGAAGTAATGGGCTAGTAGCTCGTAAATTCTCTCGTAGTTACGGTCAAGCTGTGACTAAGATTTAGGGAGCTTACTAATAGGGTGAGGCATGCACTGTAAACACTCTAAACTTAAATAGTCTACTTGTTACAAAAAAAGATGCGTCCTAACACATGAGGGTAGGGATACTGCGGGGTTTGGTTAAAAGAGGTTGAGTATAATATGTAAGTATATGGATAAATTGCAGACATTTATTGTGTGGTTGACTTTTCTTTTGTATGTGTCTACCTGTTAAATTTAATGGAATATTCCGGCCACTGCGACATGCTAGATGCTTGGCTAGGTAATCCAAGAGAAAAAAGAAAGGAAAACAGAGTGAGTATCTAGATGTTCTTTTGGGTCACAGCAATCTGTGTACCGTGTGCCTTCCAGTTGTCTGGGTCTCTTGAGGTTCAGATTATTTGGAAATTCAGAGATATCAATTATTTGCATGCTAGTTTGCAGGAAGTTAACCTTAACTAAGAGCTTCATTTTGTTCATTAGCAACATTCGAGCCTCATCCTACTATGTGAAGTTGGTTATGTATCAGTTTGGTAGTCTATCCTATTTTAATAGGATTGATGGATAATTTTAGGGTTTTGGGGATCTATGTTTGGTTCTTTTTTTCTGCCAATTTAATTGACAGTATTCAGTTATGAGTGATATTTTTCTGCTAGTGATAAATACTGCGTATATTCTTTTTCTTTTTTATGTCTTGTGCAATTGACATTGAGTGGTTTTTCTCTGCAGTATGTCTGGTGAAGAGGAAGAAAATGCTGCTGAGCTCAAAATTGGCGATGGTAACATGCACCATCTCTCTTCTGACCAAATCTCATTATATATGTACTAGTTCCATTGATAGAAGAATAAAGCGTTAAATTGGAATGCAGTAACTGAACACTTTTTCTTATGAGATTGATTGAACTGTTATCTTGGGCCAGAACTATGTAGATGTTTTAGGATAAATGAACGGTGGATCAAATAGGATCCAAGACATGTTGACTTTAGGTGGACTAAAGGGGATGTAAAGGGATATGGTCATTGTATATCTAGATAGCATTCTGAGTAGAAAAGATCTCTAACCATTTGGAAGTGAACCCAACTTCTTGTGAGCTGGCTTAAGGAATTTATTATAGGTGACCATAGCATGTGTAAAGGAATTAACTTGTCCATCTGTATAGAGGTGGTGATTCCTGACCAAACATGGAAAAATCAAATAAAGTATGACATGAGAAAACTTGAGATTAATCTCTCCACTGATTTTCTTGACATTATTAATCATATATTTTTAGAGAATCAAAGAAGCAGTACCAGGGTGATTCGTTAAATTTTTCATTGGGATATTTCTTTATGATAGTCGTTATTTGGTAGATTTAATTTCCATTTGTCTTATTTGATTGGATGTAGCTTTCAAATTGCCAATCAATACTGATGAAAAATGTACCAATCATCAGTGTTCTTGATGTTTCTTCCTTTGACTTGTAGTGAGCAATTGTTTTTCCAATCTTCAGGATATCCCTCATTAATCATGCCTTTCTGTGTTGGTGAACAAAGCTGTGGATATCTTTGTTTTGGTAGAATGCTGACTACTATGTTAATGGATGGCATTCTCAAGTGACGAGAACGATAGAACTTTGGATTTTTAGCATAGCTAATGGATTGCCTACTTGTATTTATTGCATTTTGTCCTTTTATCTTTCCTTCTGTTTTCCTTCTTTGCAGAATTTCTGAAGGCAAAGTGTTTAATGAACTGTGAAGTATCCTTGATACTTGAACATAAGTATGAACAGCTTCAACAGATGTCTGATGATCCATTGAATCAAGTTTCTCAGTGAGTGTTATTATTTTATATATTTGTTTTTTCTGTAACGAAACAGTGTGATTGGAAATTCTGGGTAAAGTCTAGGTGTGTCACTTGTTTGACTGTTTAGTTGAACTTAAAAGTTAAAACTGAAAGCTAAAATGGCATCTTCATTCTTCCAAATCCCAATGGCTAAGCAAACCTCCCAGTTCCCACGATTGGTTTACTCCTTCGGAAATCTTGATGGATTTTAGGCAGCAAGGGGTTAACATCTGCAACTCTATCAAGGGTTCGATCCCCTCAACATTAGCCTATTCTACACTAATGGTGAACATGCAATAACATCTTGAAGAGAGAGCTTGTTTACTTACTGGATTTCCACATTAGCGAAAAAGTCTGTTAGCAAATCATCATTCGCAACTAAAGGCTTCCATTCAACCGGGGCTTTATTAATTAAATTAAAAAATTAAGGGGCGTAATAGAACCAAATGAGTTCACATATCTACAGAAGTTTCAATTGCCTCCATTGCGCGAGAATATTCTCTAATGCAAATAATACTAGTGTAACAACTGTGAAGTCTTAGGAATGGTCATGATAAGAAGATTTTGCATCTCTAACTCCATACTTGTTTATATTCCAAAGATCAGACATCTACCTTCAATTCTATGCTTTTGTGTGTATTTACTTGCTTGAGCCTTATGTGCCCTGAGACGAAGAACGAGGTCTTTGAATTTTCTTTTTTAGTCCCTCTGTTGGATATCTTAGAGAATAATACAAATGTTGAGTTTACGTTGGAGTTGGTTGGAACAAATTCAGTTCGATGTTGTTGGTTTCCAGTCCTTTCTTTTGTCTTGATATGTCTCTTTCCATATGCAGAGTATTTGAGAAGTCATTGCAATATGTTAAACGCTTCAGCCGTTATAAGAATCCTGATGCTGTCAGACAAGTTAGAGAGTATCCTTCTATTTTCTATGCATGTTTGTCTTCCGCCAATTGCCCATTGAAAAGATGAATAACTGCAAATACACATGTCTAATGAGCAACTTTATTACTTGCAATAATGTCACTTACTAGTTGATTTCTTCTAATGCAAACATCTAATGAATTGAGTTCACTTGGCTGTTATCTTTATCCAGGTTTTATTTTTAACATATGGCTTAGTGTCACAGCACCTCAGACTTGTAAAGGTTACCAGTTAGCTCTTGTCCTTTCCTAGTTCTGTTTCAATGTGTGACTTAGCACGTCATTGAGCATGTTGGGAAGTCTTTAGTAATTAAGGGGAATTAAATCTAATTTGAACTCTTTTATAACATTTCCAGCTTAAGATTGCAAGTTTTTATTTTTTTTTAACCTTAACATTCAATAAGAATTCTGAGCAGATATCAATTGGCTGAATTCGAGGTAACATCACAATCCAACCGGTTGCTTTAAGAAGTATTTAAAACTGATTATCCTATAGGTTTTTCATAAAATTTTGTAATGCAGCTTTGTGTTCTTGGCAATCTTTGCCCTGAAACTGTAGAGGAAGCTATTGCTATGGTACCATCTATTAAGGTATATTTTCTTCCTGTAGGCACTAAAATTGGAACTTTCTCAGCATTGAATGGCATGCTAAAAGGATGTTACAAACCCCTTTGATGTGCAGAACCGAGGCCGTGCTCTCGATGATGAGGCAATTGAGAAGATGTTGAACGACCTGTCGTTGATAAAGAGATTCGAGTGAGGCCTCTTCATGCTTGATCATAGCAGTCAAGAGGGAGAACAGACAAGTTGCCATATTTTGCAGTGTTGACAGATGGCTCAATCACAATTCGTCATTGCACTTTGAATTGTAGCCCGAACAAAGTTCGACTTGATGAATCATGTTGCATTGCATCATGACCTATCAAAATTGTTATCATTCTCCTGCGTGCAAACTGTGAATTGGCGCTGTTATTGCTGTGTCAGTGCACAAGAATGATCTAATATGACTCTCTCTATACGCAATGATTCCTTGCTATTAATTTTTTATCACAAGGAGAATATCCTTCCTGACTTTGGTAGTTTCTAGTTAGTCAGAATATTTCAGAGTCACAATACATACCCAATAGTCAGATTTATGTCGTGTTTTTGCTGGAACAATCTCAGTAATTTGACAAAGTTCCTACTTTGCAAGAACTGGCAGACAACTAACCAAAATCACTTTGCAAGGACTGACCGATAACTAACCAAAAGCACATTTGATTCTTAATTAAGCAAATGTCTGTCGTGTCTTGACAACTACTCATCCTTCGGTAACAAAACGCGGCCAAGTCTCTCCTCCTTTTCCTCTTTTCCTTCTTCGCTCCTTCCCCTCCTGCCCACTTTCGCGTGGTTCTCTGTTTCTTTCTTTGTTTTCTCCTGGTCTGGTAGCACGAGATGAGCAGCAGTTTCTTGCAAATTCTGAAAACTCTCTCTCTCTCTCTCTCTCTCTCTCTCTCTCTCTCTCTCTCTCTCTCTCTCTCTCATGTACGTATGAATGTATATATGTATGTTGGAAGCTGGATTTGCTTGTTTGATTAAAGCTGCCATTTGTTTTTTTAATTTCTTCAAGGCCCCATTTTGGCTATTGGTAGTTTCCTTGCCTTATTAGTAGCATTTTTTTAAGTTTCTTTCTTTATTAGGTTTTTTTTTTTTTGCTTTTACTTTTGCTTTTGCTGTAAAGAGAAGATTTTTCAAACGATTTTGAGCAAAATTAGATGAAGTGGTTGAATCAATTGGAACAAAGGGGAGCAAGAAAGGAATGAAAACAAAGCTGCGTCTGTTGGTCCCATGTTCATCTGAAATCCTACTCCTTTTGGTCACTGTTTCGTCGCATTCGTAACTTGACTCGATGAAAGATAAGGATCGATTCATACGTTAATCCTCGAATTTTATGAGATAACACCGAAAATCGGGATATTTACTTGTGTAATCATGCAATTCAATGCCTGCAACGATAAACCCACGAATACATTAAATTGGACGGGCATCACCTGCGCTGGAAAATAAGAACTAGGCGGCGTCTTCTCGAAAGGCGATAGAATTTGCTAACGAGCGATCATTTTACTTGACTGAGGAAGCCATGGTGCCTGACGTGAAATATTGCCAGGCCGACCCAGGGTGATTACAATGTGCATGTCATTATAAACTGTGATTTGCTCGACACCAGAACTACATATCATGGAACTAAAAAAGGCACATTGTCATCGGTATATACATATACACAGGCATGGCCCCGGCCCAGGGGAAATGCAACTGTAGTGCCCTCTGCGTAATTGGATTTGTCGAAGATCGACAGTCTGAAATGTATGGCAAGGTCACTTAGTTCCATCTCTTCGAGTTTTTCATTCCTTTCGATTTTTGCTTAGCTGCCTGAAAAGCCTGGACTTTCTGCTTCTTCCGTGCTGCCTTCTCTGCCTGTTAAGGGTCGCACAAACAAATTCACTATTAAGATTCCATATTGAAATGCCATGAGCTGATTAGCGCCATGGCGCAAGCAATTTGGCCGGCCTAACCTTTGACATCTTGGATTTTGCTTTTACTTTAGGGGCCTTTTCCTCAACCTCTGCCTGTCGTTCTAGTTCTCTTGCCCTAGCTTCGAGGTTTTTCTCCAGATAATACTGAAAAAAAGAGTAGTAGCTCAAAACATCAGGCGATGCGATCAATTCAACCAACAGCAAAATGGGTACTAAATAGGACTTATAATGAACCGGTTTATTTCGGCATAATTGAAAATGACAACTCGTACAAGTCATCAAACGTTCAGATCTCAAGGAAGCATCGAATGATGGCTTTTCGATGGTTTAATTTTCCAAAGATCATCAACAGTAAGGAAACAAAAGCTCACTTTCATCAATTACGAACAGTTTGAAAACAAAACGCAACAAATTGACTACTAAACCAACTCGAGTTTATTTACCACCAATGTCCGAAGCGTCTAGCTGTTTGTTTTCAAGAAATACTCGTTCCAGAACATGCTATCATTTTCTAAAGATCACTAAGCAATAACTAATAAAATGAAGGATAAGTAGTCATCTCAGAGTAAGCTGCCTGAAGATAATAATAATGAGAGGAAAGGCACTTACATTATAATCCCCGGCATAGTCCCGTAAATGGGAGTCTTTGACTTCTACTACTCTGTTGACTATCTGTTTAATAAAGTATCTGTCGTGTGAAACCGTAATTACAGTGCCTTCGTACTCCCTTATTGCCTCCTGAAAAACGAAAGGAACAGGAATTACTATAAGAGGCGAGAAAGCTGAATAACATAAGAACCAAGAGCTTGGAGATGGACAAACCTCAAGCATTTCTTTTGAAGGTATATCCAAGTGGTTAGTAGGTTCATCCAAGACTAGCAAAGTCGATGGTTTTACCATGAACTTGCAAAATGCTAGACGGGCCTGAACGCAAGATTGGACATAGTAAGATCCATGACTTCAATGGAATCGCAGTTCTAGATTAATAACAGACATGTGCAAACTGCAAATACTGACTCGACCAAGAGAAAGGCTTGATCAAGATGAGAAGTACATTCATACATTCACACTGCATCAAAAATGTAAAGGACATAATTGACTTGTGTTTGATAAATCCAATCTACTCTGCTTCACAGCAACATCTCACTAAATACCCTCCAAGTCTCTTCCATCAATCAAAGAAGACAATTGCCATGCAAAGATGATTTCATTTATCTATACAATCCTCAATCTAGCTCTGACAGCTATCTAACTGAATGTCCTAACCTTTAATGATGCTATCGTGGCAGCGAGTTTTCACCATAATCCATTATAATGCAAAACTTCAGCACAAGTCAAAACGATTTGGTGTTGAACTCCTTGTGAACGTAAAATCCCTCAGTAGAGGTTGCACAGGTCTTTCCATTTTTCCCATTTGTGTATAATACAAGTGATTTAGGAGAGGGAGACCATAGTTTTAGTCTGACGCACCTTCTCACCACCACTCAAAGCCGACACCTTCCGATCAAGCATATCAGCTTTAAAATTACAGCGTCCAAGAAGTCCCTTAATGTCATCAATTCTCCAGTCCTCTGCTGCTTCAACAACAGTCTCAAGTACTGACTTTTCCAAATCAAGTGCTTCGGCCTAAAAGAAAAGAGAAAAAATCTTCAGAGACAAATGGAAACTGTGTTTCTAGAAGAGTTAAAATTAGTGAATAGCTATAATGAATGAGAAGAGCCAACAAATGAAAAGACAGTGTTGACAACAGCATTTACCCACCTGATTTTGCTCAAAGTAATTTGGGAGCACATTATGCTCCCCGAGCAAGACTTCACCTCCTTTGGGCTTCTCCAAACCCATTATGAGTTTCAGCAAAGTACTCTTTCCACATCCATTTGGACCAATGATTGCAATTTTCTCTCCTCGTTCAATTGTAAGATTTGCCCTATTAAATAACACCTGCAATAGAAGAGATTTTACTATCACGACAAGTCCCTGAGACCATCAGGGAGAGAACAAACTCAAAAGTATATAAGATAACCCACACTGTCTCCATAGCCAAAGTAAAGATTTTTAATTGTCATCACTGATCGACCACTTCTTCCCCGCTCAGGAAATCTAATCTTCATCTGTTTACGCTGGAATGGCTTCTCTACCAGCTCTTCTTCATTAAGTCTTTCCAGTTTCTGTCATGACATAGATACAAATAAGCAACTCATCCCAGATATGTCAAAGCCAAAAAAAATCCAAGAATTGCTACATCTTCTAGCATGTTCTCACCATATTATTTGTAAAATGAAGTGGAAAACACCAATGACAATCTAAGAAGGACGGTAAGAGAAATTAATCTCGAAAAGTCTACAGAATATTCAACAGAAGCAAATTCCCATTTACCTTCTCCGCAGAAGAAGCACGACCAGAATTTGCTCCTGCACCCAACCTACTTATTAAGTCTTTTGTATGCTCAATTTCCTTCTTCTGCTTCTCCCATGCAGCATATTGAGCTTCAATCCATGTCTCTTTTGAGATGACATACTGAGAATAGTTTCCCTCGAATGTTCTGGAGACACCCATATCGGTTTCCACAATTTTAGTACACAGTTGATCAAGGAATGCCCGATCATGAGATATGATGACCATTGGCACATCTTGCTTGTTTAAATAACCTTCAAGCCATTCAATTGTGTCAACATCTAGGTGGTTTGTAGGCTCATCCAGAAGCAATAAGTCCGGTTCCTGCACAAAACAAGCACGCAAATGCGACATTTAATGGGAGAGAAAGCAGCATAGTGGAGGAAGGATAGTTCACATGACTATATGCACCACCTTACCTGACACAAGGAGTATTTAGTAGATGATACGCTCAAATGGGATCAACAACCAAGGAATTTGTGTGAACAACAGGGAATATAAATTGACACCAACTTGTCAAATCTAGCCAATAGACTTCTCGCTGAACAGTATCAGTCCCATATCTGCTAATTTATCTCTATGACAAAGTAGAATATTGGAAAATCTAAATGTGATAATCACAACCAAGTGCAATTCTGGAGCTCCCAAGTTCTATTTCCAGCACTCAGCATTGAGATAATTTCGATGCACTTCACTAACTGCAGAGACTGTTACATTACGACTGAGTTAAATAAACCGAAATTTTTAAGATTGGATGAACACGAGCCTGCAGTCCATAAATTAGACGAGCGATGGTAGGCAAACATGATGACATACTAATCTACAAATCAATCGACTCGTAATAATAACAAGACTGAACTCCAAATCTAAGCCAAGTATTTCTTCTGTACCTGAAGCAGAATCTTCCCCAGAGACATCCTCATCTGCCACCCACTACTGAAAGAAGCCACAAGCCTATCTGAATCCTCAGGAGCAAACCCAAGCTCAGGCATCATTTTACTAATCTTAGCATCCACTACATCCAGATTCACATCCTGAGCCTTCCTCTGCAACAAGTCAAACTCATCCAAAAGCCTCCCCATTAACTCCAAATCATCCACAGAACCTTCAATCGCCTTCTGAACCTTCTCCAACCTCTCTGCGATTTCCATTTGCTCCTT